GGACTCGTAACTTTAAGCAGCCATAATAAATTTCACCGATAGAAGATCACAATGGCGCAACATATCACCAACCACTCGAGCAATAGAGAACCCAAAAAAATAGTTGACTTAACAACTTAACTAACATGAATACTGACAAATCATAAAACTGAAGAGAAGGAAAAAGGTCAAGAGTCAGAAACTCACATGTGCTCCAATTTCCCCCTATTAACGAAAAATCCATCATGTTTTATGGCCGAGTCATCAACTTCAAAATATTCATCCTGCAGACAAGTAGTCACCAAAAAATAAATTGTAATTTACATTGCAGAAAGGACAAATAAGACCACACGAGCAACAGAAAGAAACCAACCAACTCGGTATCATCAATGAATGAATCCTCTGTATCATACTGATCATCATATGGAATTAAATCTTCCTCATCACTACTGTCCTTACCCTACAAGATTTTAATTGCCCGGTTAGAAACCATGAAATTGAAATATCTCATGATCCTTCTATTATATCACCAATTAATTGAAAAACAAACACTAATAGTGTTAGGAAGAAACAAAAGTACCATATATAGGCGTTCAATCTTCTCAATAACAGCGTTAAAACGATTTGGTGCCGTTGCATCTTTCATTTCTTCTTCACTTGGTTGTTCCTAATGGAAAATAGAAAGACAAGTACTTCAGGATTTATAGAACATTTTCTCTTCAGTTACTTTATGGACCGACCTCTAGATCCTGAATAAAATATAGCATTGGACATCTAAAAATAATGGATATGGACATTAACAAAACTTACAGACAACATGAACTACACAAGCTCTAAACGTATCAAAATGTAGATAGGCCAACAGACCATTTTCTTTGATAGAAACAATAGGAGGAAAAGGGAAATACATATTGAGGATATACACGGCTATGAGCCCTTTTCTAGAGAAAGTATAGTAATAAAATGGGAACGGATGACACCTACAACACCTATGAGAACATTTAACATATATATATGTTCTAGTATATATTTTAACACATGTTAATGATTTTCATGCTCCAGAATCTGCCTTTCAGTTATGACACTGTGTTTAAAATACATTATGAATGGAAAAACAAATATAAAATACCTGTGCGCAAAATTTTGAAATATGCATAAATAATTAAATGGTCGCGCTAATGATCATAGGTAACCCTAAAGCTGAGGAAAAGCCTATCAAATGAGCATCTCTTTTTTCTTTTTTTTCAATATACATATATATTGTTCAAGGCTCTTTGCATTAGCTCGGATAATTAACACTTTCTAGACACAGCATCAAACGACTTGAAGCTCATAGCATAGACCAACTCAAGTTCTACATCTTTTTTTTTTTTTTCTTTTTCCATTTTCATGTGAAAAATGGACCCATTGAAGTTCTAACGCACCGCTCATCCAAAGTATTAAAGAAGTACTCTGGGCCACTTCAAGAATCTTGCTTGAAGGATCATTCGCCATATTGTTTGGATACTTGAAGTTGTATCTACGCTTTCTCCCTAATAAATTTGCAAGGAATAAACTATCCAACTGAAGTGTTAAATGATTGACGCAATGCCAGAACCAAAACAGGCTTTTAAAAATTCCAATCACACTTTAACAAGAAATAAAACGCATTATACATATAATACATTCACAGTGAAACAAAATCCTCACCGGATCAATGGGGCACTCGACGGCAGGGTTGGGGTTGGCTGGAGGCTCAGGCACAGTGTTGAGTCCATTAACCTTGTTGGCGTCTTTGACAAGTTTCTTCCACGAAACTATGGTGGTCTCTCCAGGTCGGAGCTCCACAGTGAACATTTTCCGGTCCCCCGATTTTAGTAACGAAGAAGAAGCTCTCGACGTATCGCCGGAACCACCATTGACAGTGCGAGTTCCAACACCCGCGCCGCCGCTAAAAATTCCCTCGTCCATGGAATTTCAATGACCGTTCGACGAATTTAGGGTTGCTCAATGAGAAATTAAAGAGCCGAACAGCTGGAAGCAAAAACGGAGGGACATAACCGTTTGCCGATGGAAACCAAATCGAATGAGAGGGAAATTGAGAGGCGGAAGAGAATTTCGACGGTGGTGTTCGTTAACTGCACATCGAACTGAGGCTGATAAATGTCTCGCTCTCTGTTGTTTTCTGGTTCGTTCTCAGAGAAGGTGTGAGACAATGGGCAAGGGGAGGGAAGGCGACAGACGGGTACTCGGCTGGTTAGGTCCGCACCCGAGTTCAAAGTTGCGCATTCTTTGTTTGAAAATATGAAATCCTCTAAGAACAGAGCATTCGGATTTATATGTATATTATATGTATGAATTATTGTACCATAACGACCCAAGTGCCTAACATACCCCTATTGTTTCCTAGAATGATTAGGATTACGAAACATGTCTCATCTTCTCTAGGACAAGTAGAAGAACATGTTGGGTATAGAATATGTCTTAACACAGTAATCTAAAGTTATTAATGTAATCTTGAACCATATGTGGTTGACATACAAAAAGATCATGTTTAAGTAATAACCTAAAGAGTTTATAGTATTATATAGATAAAGTGTTGGGGGCCTGATATTATTCATTTTGAACACGAGCTTTCATAACTTTATTTTTTACCTCTCCCAATTAATAATCAAATGCTACCCGTTATTATGAGCGGTTCTTCCTTTACTTTTTCCGATTTCATAGAATAGTAATAGTTTCATATGTTTGATAGTTTTAATCTATAGGACTTTTGATTGTCTGTGTTTCCATTATCACGTACCTGTAACGCTACTAATGCTCGTGGAATGATCATCGTGTGTTCAATTGTGTAGGAGAGCTGATGTTTACTTGACTGAACATCGAGCTTTTTGATGCTAAGTTTTATTGTCAAACATGCTCTTATTTAAAACATAATTATGACGTTTAGAAGTGGCGTGTTTATCGTTGTAGATGATGTCAAAATGAACCAGTTAGCGTATAAGAGGGTAACCGTACATGAAACCTTACAGCGACAAAGTTCGAGTCTCGATCTTTCTTTCATGTGAGTTCTTTTATGTTCGTATAGATGGACTCGTACAATTATTAGGTCAGTGATAATCTTTTAACACGTTATAGAGGAAATACATTTGCATTTTTGTGGGCATCACATTTTCAATGGATCGACGATCCCTTATTGAAAAACGATGCTTGAGATTCAATTTATCTACCTTTTAAAAATAAGGTCATTGGTCGTAAACGAGTGTTTAAGATGAAACGTAACTCTAATAGAGCTATCTCGAGATACAAAGCAAGATTGGTCGTCGAGGTCTTCCATCAATCAACCTATAGTGATTACTCCAAGACTCGTTGTTTGGCTCTCGAAAAAATTTCTTACCACACATCTCGACATGCAAGGTTAACGATGGAAGTATGAGATCAAACCATTAACTTTTAAAATAGAAATTAGTAGCTTTATCAACCGATAAAACCTCGAATTGACCAATAGAAGTAGAAATCATGCACAGTCCATATCATAAAAAAGACTATATCAAACGATAATGGGGATTCAACCAACAACGGTGAGTCCGGTCAGGTGGCTTGCTTACTTCCAAGCTTTGCTAATCACCTCAAAAAGGTTATTTGCCATGCGTCTCGGTGCGAGTAATAATGTGGGGTTCTGATACGATAAGGAATCAACTACAAGGGGAATAAGATTCGGATTACCTTGTAGATCGAATATCTCAAACCAAGAACACTTTGTTTGAGATTCGAATCACTCCAGAAGCAAGATCGATCATGTCTAGCTTCAATGATTCTTGTTGATCAAATATCTCAAACACTTGTTTGAGATTCGAATCACTCCACAAGCAAGATTGATCATGTCGAGCTTGAATGATTCTACATGCAACCTAAACTACATAGAATTGCAAAAAACTTAGCCATTGGCTAAAGAAAAGCACAAATGCTCATTTTAATAAATTTTCCAAGTCTGCTTACAAATATAACATACATGGCTTTATATAGCCTCAAAATGAAAGTATTAAAGACATTCCAAAAATTGTAACATTCGTACTTAATTACCATAATTAGCCATCATGTAAATGTACTAAAGTAAATAAAATGTCTTAAAATACAATAACTCTAAATTACTCTAAATTGTAACCCACCCAAAATTTACAACAATCAAACTTTATTCTTCTTCAGTGTAGCATGAATTGAAACATCTTTTGATAATTTTGACAACCTTTTCTTCACATCTTCATTGAAGTATATTGTATGATTGATGTCTTTTGGTTCATATCAGGTTCACAGAGTCCATAATAGAAATTTGTAATTTTTCTAGTTCAACAATCATGACAGATAGAATATCAAACAATCAACTTTTGAAACAGTAAACGGGATTCACCAAAACATACGACATAAAGAGTTAGAGGGTATTTTTGTATTTTTAATTAATCCATGTGTTGACCGTTGACCAATCCTTTTCCATCTTTAATAGATTTAATTTATTTTCAATCCCCACTAAAAATTATACGATATTTTAAAATATCTAAGGTAACATTTTAATTTTTTTTTTAAAAATATTTGAATAATGTGGGTAATGCAAAAAAAAAAAAAAAAAAAAAAAAAAAAAAAAAAAAAAAAAA